TAGTAGAAACTTTAGATCGCCTACAAGGCGCAAATTTGTTTTCAGTCCTCGATGTTCGCTCAGGATACTGGCAGATACCGATAAAGCCAGGTGATAGAGATAAGACGGCATTCATCGTGGGTCAGACACAATATCGATTTAGACGCATGCCGCTTGGAATAGCAGGTGCGCCGTTCACGTTCAGACGACTGATGACGCTATTACTTAAGAACTTGAAAAACGTTGAGGTGTACGGTGATGATCTCGTCATATATAGTCAAAACGAAAACGATCATGTGAACCATGTGGAAGCCGTGCTGCGACGCATCGAAGAGTTTGGACTGCGCGTCAACAAAACCAAGTCTCAGATAGCCAAAAAGAATGTAACTCTTTTGGGACATAAAGTGGGAAATGGTGAGATTAAACCACTACCGGAGAAAATCTTGACGATAAAGACCATCCCGGCCCCGAATTCAAAGAGAAAATTGAGACAATTCTTAGGTAGGGCGGCGTTTCATAGTCGCTTCGTGAAGAACTTCAATGAGATAGCAGCCCCTCTATACAGGCTACTAGGTGAACCGAAGTTTGTTTGGTCGGAGGAATCGCAGAAGACATTCAACAGGATTAAACAGCTGCTCGACCACCAACAAATGACACTAAAGCTACCTGTACCTGGAAGACAGTTCACAGTGTGCACAGATGCCAGTGACTACGCCATAGGTGCGGTCCTAAGACAGGGTGAGGGAATCGTTGAGTATGCCAGTCGGGTTCTGACACACACAGAGCGAAAGTATTCAACGATAGAGAAAGAATGTTTAGTGATGGTATGGGCAATCGACAAATGGAGACCTTATATACTCAGCCGGCGGTTCCACATCGAAACGGATCATAAGCCGCTACAGTTTCTGAAGACAGCGAGAGACCCACGAGGGAAATTGTCACGGTGGATGTTGCATCTTCAGGAGTACGATTTTACCATCTCACACGTTCCTGGAAATGAAAATGTCTTCGCAGATTTGTTATCGAGACCAGAAGACGAGTCTGAGTTGCACGAGGTCGCGTACGGAGTGCATGCAGTAGAACAAGACCCACTAAGACTGGCACGCAGACAAAGGTTGGACGATACGCTGAATACAGTAATACAAGTGATCACTAGCGGAATAGAAGTGGATCCAGCTACAGCGAGTAAGGAGCTAACCACACTACTCAGACAGAGAGATCGAATAAGAGTGAATGTCTACGGGACTCTGACCTGGCGAGAGGACGACGGAAGCTGGCTAGCTGCCATACCTCAATCGTCGCGCCACAACATGACAGAAGAATGCCACCAGCTAGCACATACCGGAGTGGCCAGAACAACCGACCTCTTGAGACAAAGTATGTACTGGCCAGGTATGAGAGAAGACGTAGCAAGATATGTACTTGGATGTCCACGGTGCCAGCTAATGAAAGGTGACCGGTGCATACGACCACCACTTCAGTCGATTCCAGTTACGGCAATAGGTGACTTGTGGTCCGTAGATGTTATGGGTCCATTTCCTCAGACATCCAATGGTAATCAGTACCTCTTGGTGATGACGGAACACGCGACACGATGGGTAGACGCCGTAGCGATCCCAGACCAACGCGCAAGGACCGTGACAGATGCAGTAGTTAGACACATCGTTGCAGATCATGGCGTACCAAAGACAATACTGACAGACCAAGGGCCGTGTTTCGAAAGTGAGGAATTTACTTCCCGTTTGCAACAGCTTGGCATCAAGAGGATCCGAACGACTCCATACCATCCACAAACGAATGGCCTGACGGAGAGAAACAACCGTACGCTGAAGGAGTGGCTGGCCTCGAAGGGCGGTAACTGGGAAACGGAGCTGCCACTGATTCTACTAACACATCGTGCCACCACCCAGGAAACAACGAAAAAGTCACACTTTCAACTGATGTATGGTAGAAAACCACGATAACCGGTACACAACGAAACCTGGCCCCTTCACCAAAAGTGGAGTACGATGAAATTAAAAGCAGAACGGAAAGAAGCCGTCAAGAATGTAACGCAGAAGCAGCGGAGGGATGTCGCGAAGTCTCAGCTGAGAGAAAAGACTCAGTGCATTACCTTCTCAGTCGGGGACCAAGTGAAGTGTAGAGACAGAAGATATGCTGTCGGATGCGGGCCAGGTTCACGCAAACTCCTTCCAAAGTGGGAAGGACCATACACAGTCACAAAAAGACGGGGTCAAGTACATACCATCAGAAGGGGTGACAAACAAAAACGAGTTAACGCCAGTCAGATCCAACGATGGGTGCATTGGGACAAGCCGGTCTGTAACAATCATCAACGAAAGGACGCATCACCCAGAGGGTCGGAACGCCTGCGCGCGAAGCTATTTGACGGGGGCACGAGTGTGGTGAGAGTTGTCTACTAGCCAAATTGGTAGACAGTAATTTACGTCAATATTTACGTTCCCAAGATTTGTCGTGAGAAAATGTGAACAAAGATTGATTCAAAACCGACCACAGCAGACTTTGCGTAGGCGAATGCAGTTAACATATAGAGGATTTGACATTCAAGAAACAGTCACAAATAGATGAAAGATTAACTTTACGTGAGAAACAACCAATCGGAAGACTGTGTTTGTTTGCTTAAATATCCATAGTAATGTACATGAAAATATATAAATATGCGTTGATTTCCTTAATAAATGATCTGTTGCCTGACCCTTGCCTTCTGTTGTTACACTAGGAAGTTGAGATAAAATAGAGTATAATAGTAATTAGGTAGAAGGATTATCGTGAAGTATATAAGTGACATTTATTTTTTATTTTTGATTACAGCTTGATTCCACACAGTACTTTTGGTAGAAGTATGGAATTTTCAGCATGGATATCGGTAGCCCAAATTTCGCAGGCCGACCATAGATATCGGGCGTGTGCCGGCAAGGGATCGAACCCCGGACCATGTGCATTGTCGGCGAGAGTCCTAACCACTGTGCCACCGATGCACACAGAGAGAAGTGGCTTGAAGGATTAGAACCTGTTGGATATGGTGACCTGTAGGATGTCTGGCGAACTTGTGTATGGCCCATGGGGGAGCATCTTGACAAGAAACTGAGCAGGCTTGTAGATGTTAGGAGCTAAAGCATTATGTGGAACTCTGTCGAAGGCTTTCTTTATATCGAAATAGAGGATAATTACTGGTTCTCTCCTATCTCTTCTATAGGTGACTTCGTTGAAAAAGTCCTAAATGGCAAGTGACGCATGATCTTTTCTTGAGGAATCCGTGTTGTGACTGGTTGATGAGTTTATGTTATAGAAGGTAGTCTGACATTTGGTCTTTGATTACTTTCTCCGTGATCCTTGACATGGTATGTGTTATATTGATAGGCCTATAGTTGCATGCACCATTTTTGGCCCCTCCTTTATGCTTAGGTAATATATACGTGTTTTACCAAATTTCAGCGTAGGTCCCAGTCACTAGTGAGAGGGTAAATATTCTAAGTAATAATACTATTATATCCGTACCACCGTTTTTGTATATGACAGACGGTATATCATCTACCCCACAACTACCGTTAGCTTTTAATGTCTTCACCACTGATGCTATATTTTGTATATTAAAGTTGATTTCACCTAACTTTTAGTTATTTTCGCAGGTTATGTCGGAAATTGGAGAACCACTGGCTGAGGAGTGCACTGATAATCTGGGGATCATCATAAATTATACCTTCGTGTTCCAAATGGTTAACATTGCTGTCTTGACCCTTCTTCAGTCGATTTTGCAAGATCTTGCAGAGTTCCTGAGTCTTAGAGGTGCCCCTCGAGTTGTGCCTTCATTTTATGTCTCTCCTCAAGATTTTTAAACGTTTCTTGTATCTGGTGTAATGCACTAAATTATTTATATAAATAAAATTTCCTCTTCAGTTTCCTTAGTTTTAATCGGTTTCTGCGGTCTATGAATAGAGTTGGTGTCTTCAGGGCAGATTGTAGGGGCGCGACTGTGTCTCTTACCGAACTGATTGTCTTGTAGAAAGTATTAAGTGTTACTTCTAAGTTGTTATTGGTAAAGTACTCATCCCAGTCAGAGCTTCTCAAGAGCGCTGGTGTGAAATTCCCAGTCGGTATTTCTGTAGTCCCTATATTGATAGTAAACCGGGGAATTTTCAGGTGTGTGTCTAGTTGTTAGTTGAAGAAGTAGAGTGCAGTACAGTATGTTGTGATCATTGTTGTCGAGTTTATCCCCACCTCTATCGAGATCGGCTCTATTTTGTGGCAGAGGACTAAGTCGAGAATATTGTTATGTCGTGTTGGGAGGCGTACGCACTGCTACCATCCTCCTACATCTATAGCTTCTAGGAGCTCTTCGTGGATTCTAGGTCCAGTGCAAAAATCCCAGTTCACTCCAGGGATCTAGAAATCGCCACAAACCAGTTTGTAGTCAAATTCCAGCGTAGGTACATGCTCTAGGATTTCTCCGATAAACGTATCAGTCCACTTGGGGCTGTTAGGGGCTCTGTATATCCATTCCACTACAACTTTATTTTCATTCGTGTGGACGCATATCCACCTACATTCTGAGAGTCTGTCAATAGTTCGGTTAGTGAAAGTATTGGACTCAGCGGATTTAAAAGCATACATTTGGATCACGCATGCATGCAACGTATGAAACAATTACAAAGAAATGAATGAACTGACCTGGTGATATAAACTTTCGAAACCAACGAAATAACTAATTTTAACTGCAACAGAAACCAAAATGAGGTGAAACGCGACATTTGCGAACAATGTGCATCGAGATAAGTTGTGAATAACTGCAGGATAAACGTGAAAGCCAATGTGTACACGAACGGTTAGGGAACGTCAATCCAACATGGCCGACTAAATTGGACGAAAGTGACCTTCAGGTGCCTGACTCTTCCAGTGATCTTGAGCATGCGGGATGATTTCAGTCAAATATTTGCGATACAGTCATGAGAATAAGTTTTCGTATCTCTCAAAAGTTAATTTGTAATAATCATAATGCATGCTTTTGAAATCGAATTAGGCAGCTTATAGATATGGGTTCCCACACTTGTTGCACTTTTGCATTATCGTTGTTTGGCTAAGTCACATATCCCATCAAATATCTTCGGGCGGGTTGTTGGCTTTGGTTTCAGTTTTTTTTCGATGGAGTCTCCAGTCTGTTCAAGTACGCCAAAAAGCTCTACCAAACGGGCTATGAATGAGCTAAACTTAGAAACACCGCACATCTCACTGGCTGAAGGTAGTATCCGAATCAAGAGAAGGAAGACAGCGACAGTGCCAGAACAGTTGAAGTTAGTACTCACAGATATTTTCCTGTTTCAAATCACTGATGGTAGCATTTGACACTTATTTTCGTACATATCGTTTTGTTTACTGTTAGAGATGATGTGGTGAGTCATTGATGTGTATGTTTGTCAGCATTTGAACATGTGGACGGGCGACATCCGTGTTAATCAGTCTTGTCAACATTATTCAGGTGTTCTCTAAACACGAGCAATCGACATCTAATGTGGACTGCCATTCTTAGAATTACACACCCCTATATGGATCCCATTAGTATTTTCCGACTTCATAGTAATCTGTACAAATTCCTGAAAATTCTTCTCACTGGAGTCAAGAGGGCTATGTTCTTGTTGGAGATCATTCCATCTTACATGGCCTGAGATCCCGTTTCTCTGGTCTAATTAGTTACTCCTTATAACCTAGTGGTTCGTTCTTATGAAACAGTCACTTTCAGTTGTTGGGTAAGACAGGAAGGACTAGTTTTATGTGGTGGCAGACTTCAGGGGACAATCGTTTGAACTTCTCTGTTTTGATATGATGGAAGTTGTGCTTTCCCGTCCTTGGAAAGAACTTCACTTAAGGAGTTTGTGATGACGCGATATATATATATATATGTATATATACATGACTGGCTAGTTGTTTGAGGGAAATCCTTTACTGCTGCTACGTTTCTATGCGCTAGCAACACGACCCTACCGTCAGATTCCCAGTCAGTGGTAGTTCGTCCTGACCATATTGATGACTGTGGAGCGAACTTTGTTGAGTGTCGTAGGACTGGATTGGAAAAGAGTTGGGCGTTGTAAGACGTGTCTTTTAGACTGTGTGGCACGGCATCACCTGCAGAAACATTCCGTCAAGCCAGTGTAACCCGTTGAGTAGATGCGATATTCAAACCGAACCCGCACTTCAAGTTAGCAGGCATCCAGTGGGATTTTAGACACAACCGACCACTGAAAGAAGTAGAAATACTTAGTACAAAATAACTGAGTCACGCAGACACTCACTTTCTTCATTGAATTACTGAGAGTGAGGAAGGATTAAATTCCTCTGAAGAATGAAAGTTTTGATTATTGATAGTCTGTGGTAATTGAAAGAAAGGATAGATGTGTGAAAATAACCACTGATTGAAGTGTCGAAGTTTCGATTCACAGCAGTCAGTGTTCTACATATCATATATACATTCGAAGTTGGGGATTGATTGTCTTTTGTGTATTGTTAGTTTCTGGTCTATATTTTCACAGCCATTTTTAAATTCCTTGAAATCCAAATGGTGCATAGTGCTCCAATGCTTTGAAATTTCGGCAAAGGTGTTGGCTGGTTTTTGAATACACAACCGACCAGGCGATGCATAAAAGTGAGCATCTCTTTCAGGAGTCCAATTAGTTACTTAGTATAACTGGTTGGCAGTGGCTTTCTACTGTTTTCGTTTTTTATCACACCATCTTTTGATCAGGGTCGAGGGATTAGTTTTGAGTGATTCGACATCTCAAGGGACAATTGCTTAAAGATTATTACGCAATTTCTGTCTTGATGTAATGGAAGTGTAGTGTGGTATAACTGGCTTGCCAGTTGTTCGTTCCGGGTGAAACCCTTTCTGGTTTACTGTGGACTAGATGAGGTATCACAATACTTGTATGTGCTGTTAACAAGTCTGTGCAGCCACAATGTGTGTATAGGCTTTGTACTTTAACGGAAACTTATTTTTGTATAAGCTGACCAGTGTTACGATTTATCAGTGAATTGTAGTATTCACTTCTCTGATTTACGCAATGATCCTAATGAATGTTGTGTTTTGATTACCCTCCCAGTCTCTCAAATCGATCGTTGCCTGTTGATCTTGATTCGAATGTCAGTTCATCCCGTCGTTCTGTGCTTAAGAGACTGTCTCAGCCGAAGAAAGCAGCAACAGGTACGTCCAGAGATTATGATTAGTGTTGTTAGTGTTTACACTCATTTTTACTATCATCTTTGGTTATGCGAGTAATAATACGGAGTTTGTATCTCATTGTTTCTGACATGTTCTGAAGATATCTTTTCATATGTGATAAAATCATGGCATTTAGTTGTTTGGTTTGCTGACAACGAAATCCAGTTGAGTGGATGCACATTTTGTCCTGTTTAGGACTCAACAACTGTAGATATGTCCCTTCCCTCGAGTGCTTGGTGGTGTTGGTGATGATTCCAGTGAGACGAACCCAGCACTGATCCTTTGAAAAGCCACATCTGAAGACTCATGTGGTATGATTTGGTTGGTGGTTAAACAACAAGTGACGAGTGATATTCGTTTCACAAGAGGTGACTCTGGTGACCTTGTGGATAACACTTGGTTGTTGAAACAATAAGTACTAAGTTCGAGTCTTAGGGGAGGTAGGAGGGAGGGCAAACGATCACTCACTGAGGAGACAGGTACACCCAACTGACGACGAATAGTTTCAAATAGGTTTAAATGCACATGTTGGATTCCACCGTTAGTCACCATCACATAAACCATACAGACGTCGTGTTAGCCTTCAAACAGCCATCGTCGAAGCTTCCGTCAAAGAAGCCGGTATACGAATAGAAATCGAGCATTTTGATGACATGTATGCAAATTAGTTAACGAGAAATACCAAACAAGGTGAACAAATCTGATGAAGTCAACTATTGATTCACAGTGAATTCAGTTTCATGATGTTAGGTGTAGATGAATGTTTTGTTTTATTGTGAACTTCTGTCATCTCTTACTTCATTGATCTTTTGAATGATGTACAGATGCTGCTGCTGGTACAGTGAAATTAAAGTGGGAGGGTATCATTCTAGGGATAACATAGTCCTCTTTCCAACGGTTATCATTTGAACACTACTGTTTCTTTACTTCCCTCGTCTTCTAAGATCATTCAGTCAGACCCACATGAAGAACATGAACTTGAACTCCTTCCGGATAAATGGCGTTGGTTTTGATCAGTAGGTCACAAATGCTTAATACCTAGATATTTTGATGTCATGACATTTGAGAAATTTTGTTGGTTCTTGTGTAAGCTTTTCAGTGATTTCTCTTGCGGAGGTGAGTGTCCCGATTTCGCAAGATGTTCTGTTATCGAAGTAAAGACACACGTTCTGGTTTTGCTAGCCCAACTTAGTGCTGTTCACGTACACGGTCGATTTACTTATCTCGTTAGAAGCAAGTGGGCTAGTAAATAGAGGTTGATGTAAAAGCTTGCCTTTTACGAACAGATTTTGCAATAAAAAACTGGTGTTCTTAGTCTCCCTGTAGAATTTGTTATACCAGGAAGTTTTGAATTCCGGTTCTGAAGAATTCCTGCCTTCGCATGACTTTTGAATTGGTGATTTAGCAGTGAAATGTTTTAGGAGGTTATCTGGATCTGTTGCTGTGCATCATTTGGTTTCAGGTCCTTGTTAATGAATCTGTACTAGAAGTCACTTCCAGTCAGCACTATTCGGCAATTTAACAGTTGCACACCAACAGGTCTCAGTGAGTGTATTTTTCGGAATCTAGAGGAAGATGAATGGATAACATTTCTTTGCCTGCTTAGAGATGGAGAGCTTTGGAAGTTGATAAACTGTCTGTCCCATGCGGCCTTCATGTATCTGGATTTCGTCAGGAATTAAACAAGGGCGAAAAGCAACATTATTCTTCATCTCTTAAGAGTGATGTTGGTGTTTAGGTGGGTGGGGATTGATTGTTATAGGTGTTTAGAGCAGATATCAGAGTTTCTAGTTGACATCAGAAAGAGTGAAAGTATCGTGAGTGTGTTCTGTTGTAGAGATGGAGCTCATTGATTATTGTGCATAATGTGGTCTTTTCTATGTTTCCCATGAGACACTCGGCCAAGAGCGAGTGTGTGTGTGTGTGTGAGAGAGAGAGGTCATAGAGTAGAATGCACTGCTACATTGGAGTTAAACCAAAGCATGAGTATCGGTATACAAACATTGATATTGATATTATGGGGTTGGTTAATGGGGAATCACAGGGAAAACAATGATGGCTTTTATTAGTGAGGAGACAAACGACATTTAAGGAGAGAATATTCTTTTACCTAGCAGAATAAATGGATAAAGTCGACTGTGTCGTGGAGATTGTCTCGATAGCTTGATCTTCCTAACTGGTCAGAAAATTCCCAACATCCAGGTTGTGACTGAGTAATTTACTCTCTGTTAGCATGTGTGATATGCTTCCACGTAGACCATAGATTGTTGATGAATTCTAACAGTTCCCGGAAATGTTGTTAGTCGATTAGAGGTAATCAATTGCTGAGAAGCAGCAGCCTTGGACAAAATTGTATTCCTGTGGTGATTCAAAGCTTTGGTGCTGCAGTCAGTGACATCACCTACCACTGGGCTGTTTTGGGACCATGAGGTGGTAGTGTTAGCTACCTTAGCTAACTGAAGTGTAAATATCTCTGTAAATGTTCCCACTCCTACCTAGAGGTTTCCCAGTTGATGAAGATTACTCTTCTCTCTGATTGCTGTTAACGTGTTTTGTGGTGACAAAATTCTGGATGGAAAGTGTTCCGAATTATAATTCGTCAATTTAGTCAGTATTACATTTGCTTTCTCTTCTCACTAATGAAGGGCGTCAAGGCATGGATTGGATGTATGTTAACTATAAGGATACTCCACAACCGAGTGATCGTCCTATTCCACGAAGACAAGATGATGGAGGTGAGCCATCAGCACATGCATTACCACCAGGACCGCCATCGAAAACACGTGATTCAGGCCGACAACTAAAACAGCAGTTAGTGCGAACAGAACAGAAACGGGCCAGTCGAGAGGTGGATACTGCACGAGAACATAATACTGATAATGATAATGATAACGATAAAACGGAACGGCCAACGAAACGTGCTGCACCGGGTACGAGAGCTTTGCGAGAGATAGCAGCATACCAGCGGAGTACAAATCTCCTTATAAGGTAAAATGACCCAAAGTTGTTTTCTTCTTTATGTTGGTTGCTTATTTGTACTTGCTATTTTTTGTCTGTTACAGAAATGGTTTTAGTTACTTTTCACTTTTGTATCACAGAGTTTTCTTGGACAGTTTGGTTAGTTCGATTTGTCAGTGAGGACTCAGTCACCAGGATAGTGGTGTAGATGTGACATCTGCTATCGGCACACATCAGTTTACTGTGTACCTCGTTTGTGGCTGTGGTAGGTAGCCGTTTGACGACGGAGACCTGAAAAGGCGAGTTGTGGTTGGCTGTAGGTGTTTCCCTTCCATCTCCCCTGCTGTGTCATTCTGTGGTGCGTCATACTCAGGTTAGACGTAAAGTATTAAATAAGAAGACGAAGTCAGCCAATGGATGAGGTGATGAAACCTCACCGAATGAGATAGATGGATGGGACACCTGTTTTACACATGCCAGTTAGTGATTCAGTTTACTTCTCCTATAGGTGAATTTCTCTGTAAGTGAGTTAGTAAAAACACCTGGGTGTTTGTCGTGCTACTTCTTACTAGTCGTGTAATTCACTAAGTACCAATGAAGTGAAGTGAGAACTTTGCACAAAGTGTCGACATTTTGAAGTTGTGCAACACTTCTTGGAAGCACACACATTGAAAGGTGGTGGTGGACAGAGGGGAGAAGCATTAGAGGAAGTTAACACTGATGTATTCACGACTGAAGGTTTTCCGATACAGCAGGTGTAACTTGCTTGCCTGAAGATCTCTAGATCTTATGTTCCCTAAAGTTAGCGGATTTGCATGCTAGAATGAGACTGTTAGTTATCCAATGAACTTCTTGATTCCCATGGGTGATTGTTTTGACTAACTGTGACCTACTAATTGATTTCATTCCTTGAGGAGGAGGAGGAGGAGGAGGTCTGTCTTGATGGAATGTGTCAAACACCTGTAAATTATATGAACGTTTCACTCCTTGCATTCCGAGTGGAATGAAGTCCTGCTCCAGACTGTGGAGTTTCATTAGTAGTGTTGTCTGTTTGCTTTAAGTGGAGGTGGGGTTGTTCAGTAACTCCGTCCAAGCTTCCATCTTCTGCGGACCTACTGTCAGCTAGTAAATTGAGCGAATTTTCTCAGTGCGTCGACCTACAATCGGGCCTAGACAACGTGTGTAGTTGGCGAGAGATCTACTATTGAACCACCATCCCGGTGACTGAATGGTCAACGAGCTTACCTGATAACATGAAGGTCGTTGTGAGTTCTCGTTGTGTCACGCGTGCATTACTCTGAGGAATGACAGACTAGGAGAAAACACGACTGTCGACTAAATCCACCTTATTATGTGTATATTTGTAAATATAAACCACCTAACGAATGAATGAATGAATTCATTGTTTACTTTGCAGTTTACCTGTTTATATGTTCGTTTTTTTCTTTGTTTGTTGATTGTCGATTGGTGATAGGAAGCTGCCATTCTCTCTATATATCCGTCATATTATGGCAACGTCACTTGGTCCGAGATACTTAACGTTTCGTTGGCAAGCGATATGCTTTCTGGCCTTACAAGAAGCCGCTGAAGCATTCCTCGTGAGCTTATTTGAGTCGGCTCAGCGATGTGCAGTTCACGCTAAACGTGTTACAGTGATGCCTAAAGATATCAGGCTAGTGGCAGATTTACAAAACATTCCAATTGACCGAAGTTATCAACAATTGCAACAATTGAGAACGATGACGACTAATCGGCCTATGTTAACGGCAGCACCCTGTCCATCGAATAGGAAGCATCGGAACAATAACAATGATGATGATGATAATGATAATAATGTCAGATGATGACTGTTTTCTAGTTGATTTTTGTAATTTCATCATCACTGTTGTTGTTGTTGCTGGTGGTGGTGGTGGTGATTCTGTTTTATCTCCGATCCCCACGTTGTTTCACTTCTCTTCTTGTTCCAGTGCACATAATCCTCGCCCACATTCACTCTTTGTGATATATAATATCCAGTCAACTTCGATTGTCCTTCCATTTTACTACTGTTCTTTTTGCTCTACATTTCTGTTTGTTACTTCTCTTTTTCTCTCTTCTTGTGTGGATATGGAGAGTGGAACTGCTGCACATCTGTGCAAAGTTCTAGGTTGAAACTAGTCAATCAATCCTCCCCCACTCCCGCCCTCCCCGCCTGTCCCTCTGTGCTACTTGATCTTTGCCTAATTCCCAATTGTGATATTTTTGTGGATACGGTGTTTTCCTTGTTATATATTATGTTAGGTTGCAGTTTTGTGAATGCTTCACTACTTTTATATCAAATTGGATACATTTTTTGTGGATACATTTTGTGCGATGACCTTATTTGTACATAGTGACTTTAAATGCTGTATGGCTACCAACAGTCTGAGTCTGTCTGTCGGTGAACAGACTTTTTTTGTAGATAATTACTACCAGTGTTGTATCGTGGAATGTTTTCTATTGTGATTAAAAACAACTGTGTCTCCAATGTTCTTGTGATTTGTTTTGCTTTTCTCTCCAACGTGAGGGGGTGGGTGGGTATCCTACCTGATGTGCATCTGTTCAGGATGAGGTTAGTTTTGAAACACTATTTTCGTCGTGTATTTCGTTGGTGTTTTCCTTCAGCTATCTGAAGATGTTGATTAATTTTAGGGTGGATATGGTTACCAACTGAGACACCAGTCAGTTAGTCAGAGGCCCACTGAAAACCACTTTGGATCTGGTTACATTTCCTGTCATAGTTAATGACTCTACTGTAGGGGTCCAAGCGAAAACTGTCAAGTCACTTCAAGTAGGCACTTGTTAAATATTGAGCCATCGTGTTTCAATCCGATTCGCCGTAAATTCTAACCTGTGTCGATTTGCGATATGTGTTTGTGCTAAATCGATGCTATGATCGGCGAGTATCTGTCGTCACAGCCAATTAGCGCTGCATTACACTTGTGATGATTTCTCATGAGAAAAGCATGAAATTCATCCTGTGGGATCAGGAATGATGGATTGAGTAGGCTTAGTTGTCACTTGGGGATTTCTACTCGAGAAATGGTAAGTTCTCATAGTTTACTAGTCATCCCTTACCGTTGGGAGGATGGGCTACTGTACATGGTAGTCGTTAGCCACCTCTTCATCACTTGTCAAACTATAAGGCGTAGCGGATCTGAATTTGTCCATCATTTGAACAGGAAATCTTTCTTCAGAGCTAATTTTTAGTATGCGGATATGGAATATACTCAGCATCTGCGAGACTGGCTTCTCAAGTTGCAGTAGAAACGAGTATATATAGTATGGAAGTGTTAGAGATCTGAGTGAGTGGGATCCTATGAAAGTGTGAATGCTCCAAATTGTTCAATAGAAGGAGAGTGGATAATCTAATTTGGTTACCCACTAACGAAGTTTATAGACAGATTGATGCCTTAGAGTAGAAGTGGGAAGTTGTTCGGCACGTATTCTTGTTGATATTCTCATGAGAAATCTAGAAACAAACGAGAAAAACAGATTTGCAATTGAACAAACCAGCCTTTATGCAAAGTATGTGGATGACATATTCGTGATTTGTAGGAACATGAACCATGCTTGCAAATGGTTTCATAGCTTCAATTTTTTGGATCGCGAAAATCAGTTTCACATCCTGGATTTATTTGTGAGGTGGTGGTACGGTTGATAGGGGAAATACGGCAAGGATACCTGGACCGGACAGTATTTAAACTACTCCAGCTTCTGTTCAATAAGGGACAAGCAAGCATTAGTCTGGAGGCTGTTTGATGGAGCACGTAAACTTCGCCTTGAGAATAGATTGTATGAAGAGATGGACGTCCTTGAAAAGTAATTGTCTGGAAACAGGTTTCCAAACAAATTGATGACACGTTTGAGGAGGAATTCCGGTAAGTAGTGTTACTACAATCGAGAAGAGGTCTATAGTCATTCAAGTCACTTTTAAAGGAGTTGATGTATCGCAGAGTATAAAGAAGAGACTAACAGCAGTTGGCCTTTCTACAACATCCTGTTTACAGCACTAGTCGTGCACTTTATATTTGATATTGGAAGTGGTCAGAGATATCCATCTGAAGTCACCTCCGAATTGTGTTTAGTGATTGACGTGTATGTGCCAGAGCATGAATGTGTTGGAAGTTGAAAGCAGGTCAGCATCCATTGGCCTCTCTGAACACATTTCAGAAAGTGTGATACTCAATCATGCGAATCACAACACAAAAGAGATATTCAAAATTCTTGCACTATTGGTTTAACAAACATAGAAAGTCAACTTCATTTCGATTTCGCTGAATCTATCGCCATCGAGGAAGTAAAAGTAGCAAACGTGTATATGAGGAAAACAACGCAGCGATTAATCTTAGTTCACCCTGGAGACAATTCATTTTCGCCTATTGCGTAATTATATATTCTAATTAGAAATAATAGAGAAGATTTGCAGCTGACGTGGGTGGGTGGTTTACAATTAGTTGTGTTCTCTGAGCTGTCTGATTTAATTGCGTAACTTTCATTGTCCAAGTCGACAATGAATTCGCCATAAATTGTGTGATATAATTGTAACTGTTTTGTTCTCCGTTATAACTATTCCTTTGTCTCACACCTCTGTTTACTGTCCTCTACTTCCTTCTCTTGCTTTGCGTGCTACATGGATTGTGGCGACTTGAACTGCCGCACATATATTCAAAGTTCTATGTCGAAAACCGACCGACCGATATAATTGTATCTCATGACAACCTTCGTTATCGTGATTGGTTGTCAATTTACACTGGTCATATTTTTCCTGACTTGGAATTTGAACTTTCTTGTCATGTGATGTATTTTTCATGAGTTGGAAAACTTTATCCATACTGGGTATATTCGTTAATCGCTGATTCGTTTTCTAATACCTGGCTTCTAGAAATTCTCTGGTAATACTTTTGCTGATTCCTCCTCTGTTCGAATTTTCTATGTTGTTCCAATCAAATTGATTGATGTCCGTAGTTATCTCTACATGTGTTGACATGATGAGGCAATAGATGTCGTGCCTTTTCACTGCTGAATTGTGCTTTTGGATTCTGCTGATTGCAAGGGGATACCCACCTTGGTCGTTGTGATATTCATTGCAGTTCATGCATGCGGTTTATTTTGTAAATGGTATTAATTTTATGTTCTTTTTCTGTTGGACCTTTCAGTCTTCATAATACCAAATGAAGTGATTGTGCAGGCTTTTGTGCTATGTTTATTTCAAACGGTCTTAACATTGTGGCCGTTGCTTCGGAGATATTCTTAACACATATGTTAGAATGAATTTTCTTGTGGTCTTTGATGATGGTCTCTTGTTGGTATTAATAATAATAATAATTTATATTTTCATATAAACATAAATTTACATGAAAATGCATGATATGATATAATGACAAATAGTAGATTGTCTACAAGTTAATAATGTTTGAACAGCTAAATATTTGATATATACATAAATACACTCATTGTCTGACCCATGTGGTATCATTGTTGAATTAAACAGTAGTCCTCCAGGTTGCGCAGGAAAATCGACTTCGTTTCGTTTTCAACCCGTAGTTGTAGGCATACGATAGCCAACCAATATTGAGGTAAGTACAACGTTTACAAGGGATAGTAAGATTATCACTTTTTTAAAGGTTCAAATTGTTGAATTATATAGTACAAGCTATCGGAACAGATTCTTATAATTGTTAATTTGTAAATCTTCCACGAAGGTTTCCATCGAAGTTGAGCGACAACCACGTGCTTGAACGCTATTTCAGGAAGAGGAGAAAATCCTGCACAGCTACAAAATGGTATAAAATGCAATCATGAATAATACATTATTGGAAGTTTAATTACAAGAAAAATACAAGGATAAGCTATGCAGTACTTGATGTGATAGTGCACATTTGCAATGTATGATGCTAACCATATTGGTCTTACCGTAGAAAACTATGACGTTTTCTATGAAAATAAAGTTATTCTCAAACATGAGTGCTGTTGTTATGTTTTTTTAATCATCAGAGCAACCGAACTTTATGCAAGAGAAGAGTGTGAATGAGAAAAAAGAAAAACAAAAGAGTAAATTTCAGCTTTACTAAAGGCCTAGGAAGTTGAGATAAAATAGAGTATAATAGTAATTAGGTAGAAGGATTATCGTGAAGTATATAAGTGACATTTTAGAGAGAAGTGGCTAGAAGGATTAGAACCTGTTGAATATGGAGACCTGTAGGATGTCTGGCGACCTTGTGTATTGCCCATGGGATAGCATCTTGACAAGAAACTGAGCAGGCCTGTAGATGTTAGGAGCGAAAGCATTATTTTTTTTTACAAGCTAAAACTGTACAGTCACTATTGTTTTAGTTTGTTTTTTTTAAATTTTTTTTATAAAGTCAATTTTTTTATACTCTCAGTATCTAAACTCATGTTTAATTCTCGAGCTGCCAAAATAATGCATGTTGCTGTCCTACAGATCGGAGCGATTCACATTTGTGACCACTACCAAATCTGCTGATC